CTGCCTTTTGCAATTGACTGATGGTGATTTTGTCAATGCCGATGGTCTTCAAGTGGTGCTTCAGATGTTTTGGGGTTGCACCTAAGTAGTAGTAGTAGCAGTATTATTATTATTATTATTATTATTATTATATTTTTATGTCAGCTTTTATATATTTTGCTCAACTCAAGGTGGCAAACATATTTAATACTCCTGCCTCCTATTTTCTCACAACCACCCAATAAAATGTACCTCTTAAGTATACTTAGGACTGTTTATAGCTATATTTATGGAGGGCCACTTTGGTGTAGTGGTTAAGGGACCAGGCTAGAAACTGGGAGACTGGGAGTTCTAGTCCTGCCTTAGTCACAAATCCAGCAGGGTGACCTCGGCTAGTCACACTCTCTCAGCCCTAGGAAGCAGGCAAGGACAAACTACTTCTGAAATCTTGCCAAGAAAGTGGCAGGAAATTGTCCAGGCAATCACCAAGAGTCAAGACTGACTTGGAGGCACCAAAAAAAAAAAAAAAAAGTATACTTAAACTGTAATTGTGCATATCTTTTATTCAGATTATTCACCAATTCTATTGGCTTTCCAACTGAGATGAGGCCTTTAGAACAAAGTCATTCGCTTCTTAATTATAGAATCTAGGAAATTCATCTATTTTAGTCATTGGAGCAGGAAAAAATAATAGAAGCTGAATGGCATCTGTAGATTCTATTCTAATGTGTGTTGTTATTTTTTATTCTGTGTGCATAGTTCATTTGGCCAACCCTTTTCCTAGTTTTATTAGTTTCTTGAACAATGTCCTCTATTCAGCAACACACTACTAAACAATATTCTATTCTCCTGATTTAGCTTCAGAAATCTCCTGCTGGTTTTTCCCTTTGGATTATTCTTTTAGATAAATAGAATGACTTCTGCCAGCATAACTTCCTGTTCCTTGTCACAGGGAGGTTGAGCAAGATAATAGCAGCATATTTTTGTTAAATACTTAAATGTATCACACTGCAGTCTTAGATGGTGAATAGTACCTGAGATGATGGCAACTTTTGACACTGCTGGAGGCAATGCTTAATTCCTAAAGGAAAAGCAAGTCCTTTTCAGGCCTGTCTGTGAACCATAACTTTTTTTTATGGAAGTGTTCTCCTTAATTCCAGCCAAGTGAAATCTTTAACAACAGAAATAGAAGCTGGGTGCTACTTCAGGAATTTTCAAAGCTGAATTTTAGCCAGGGCCAATCGATTTATTCAACTGACTCTCGCAAGGTCATGACAGCACACCTTCCTTAAACCTACTACAAAAACTGACCTGTCAGGAATATGACTCTTTTTCAAATGCTGATAATGGGACAGTAGGCTAATTTAAGAAATGCACAACAGCCTAATGACTGCATACGTGTCCATCCTTAAACACTTCCCCATGCTTGTCCCCACATTATTCATGGCATATCTTTGCTGCCCAGTCAGGGGAACAGTGGCGTGTGGGAGCAGTGGCAGTGGCCGCTGTCACATAAAGGAGCACTGCATGCAGAATGTCTCTTGAGAAATTTTGTCTAGACTGAACTGCTTCCCATTTTGGGGTCATTCCCAAAAGCAGTGCCTGCCCAGGAGCAATACCAAACAAATATCATGGCACCAAGGGGCCAATTGAGGCATCTGGGACATCTAAAATGATTGCTGCTGTTACTCTACTTGCCATTTAGCATTAACTAATGGTAAGGCTAGGTTTACATTCCTCGACTCATGTTCCTTTACAAACTGTTGACTCAGGTTTTTGTTTTTGCAAAATTGTATAATTATCTTCCTGCTTTCTGGTGAACTACTTAAACTGATTTTTAAGCCTGAATAGAGTACAGAAACATATTTATAAGGAACAAAGCGTTATACCCAAGTGCCCAGCTTCTCTATGATATGTGGTCTCTGAGGCTTCTTATATTTGCTGGAATTTGCTGGAATTTGCTGTTTAAGGGTTCACATAAACGCTGCAGGGTGAGTGCATATGCATATTTGTGTGCCAAGATGTTAAGTGCAGGACCAACCCATGCAACTCTGCACCCGTTACATGTGATGCTCTTATACCCTGTTCAGATACAACAGCAAAATGTCTGATCATGGTTCAGCAAACTGGGTTCTCTTTGTTTTCTTTTTTGTTTGATAAGCCTCTTCAGCATCCCAGCTTGCTTTTCCCTTTTTTCTCTCATCAAGCTTTGTTTAAAACAAGCACTTTCTATCCATGGTTATTCTGTTCTTTTTTTTCCCTGACAAATCTCATGGACAATATTTTCTCCCACCCATCTGCTAAAAAAATGATATAATTGTGAATTCGGCAAGCAGTAAGTATTAAAGATTCATTCAGATACTGTATAGTGGTTTGATACAACTAAGTACATGTAGGCTTCTTGTTTAAACTTTTTCCATTCCATATTTTTTCCAACTCTTCAAAATTGTGCACAACTCTGTCTGCCCCGTCAAGTTTCCTGTCCTCTACCTTTTGACAGTGCTCCTATCCTGACTGGTGCATTTTCATATTCATAAGACAGGGGGAAAAAAAACTTTTTAAAGTTACTCCAGCAAACCTGTCTCCCCCAGAAGCTGTTTTAGGTGTTTTCTGAGTGGTGATGGGGAGTCTTTCCCTTCCTGCTTTGGGTGATGGGTCCAGCCTCAGTTTTGACACAAGCAGTTGCTGAGTATCTGTCTTCCATTAGCTCATCAGTTTCCTTTCTAGAAAAATTATTGGACCTCAAAGGAAGAGGCAAAAGTGTACACTTTTAGAGCCAGTTTGGTGTAGTGGTGAAGGTGCTGGCCTAGAAACCAGGAGATGGTGAGTTCTAGTCCTCCTTTAGGTGTGAAATTTGGCTGGGTGACTTTGGGCCAGCCACTCTCTCTCAGCCCAAGCCACCTCACACCACCTTGAATTGTACAAACTTGAGTTGTACAAAATAAAGGTGGCATATAACAACAACAACAGTAAGAATAAGATTATATCAAGTATCAATTGTGCATTTGTTTGCATCTTCCAGTCTGTTGTTGTATTGGTACGCGTATTGGTACATGTGTTGGGTAAACTAGTAGTGACTTATGTTAAAAATATTTATTATTCTACATCTATAGCTTATTTTTGCCTCATGTTTGCTCTAAGAAGCTACTTGAATGTTTATGAACTTCTGACACATCCTCCACTTGGTCTGTGCTCAAGCTTCTGTGTGTTATCTTCTTGATTTTTCTTCCCCTGTTCTTAGACTTCATTAAAATTCAGAATCTGCACTGTGCATTTCCTAAACTTGACAAAATGTCACCAGAAAGTAGCAGAAATATTTTCCTTTCAGATTGTGACCTCAGCATCCACTGATCTCCAAGATTATACTTACTACTTTGTCCCTGCTCCATGGTTGTCTGTGAAACTTCTGAGATTGTTGCAGTGCTATCCTCCACCAGGTAAAGTAATGAAAATATCCTAGTCTCACCCTTCCTTTAATTAGCAAAGAACAGCGAATAGCATTAGAAGCGTATGTATTTGATCATAGAGACTACAGTGTATTGGAAATTAGAATAGCTACGTGCGTGCCCACAGGTGCTCCAACCCCCCTTTTTCCCTTTGAATCCAAAGTGCTATACAGTGATGGATGCCATTTTTTTGAATAAATACAACCGGCTGAACAAGCATACCTGGTTCTCATTATTTTGGAACAAATACAGCTGGCTGAACAAACATACCCAACTTCTTTAATAGAACGCTGCTGGGCTTTTTCCGTGGTCTGGTGCCATTTGACTATTTTAAATAAGTTATTTCAACAATGGCATAGATGAAATCCTTACAAATGTACAGGCGGCAGAGAGCTGAGAGAGATAGCTGACAACATAAAAGGCAGAATAAGGATTAAAAGTACGTTAGGATTCTGGGCCAAAGCTGCAAGAAGCAATTCAGGAAATATTCAGCAAACAAGTGCAGATTGGAAGAGATCTGGCCTGGTAGCAGGAAAAGATGTCCTGGTTAATCTCAAGTGATGTATGAGTTGCCAGTGTGATGCCACTGCTAAAATGCAATTGTGAGATATGTTATCAGAAGCATAGTTTCCAGAACTTGAAACAAAAGTTACATTATATTCTGTGTTCATCTGGTTGCTTCTAGAATATCATTCTGGACATTGTGTTTAATCATTGTGTACAAATTGGAGCAATGCAAAAGGAGAGAGAGTGATATGGTGAGGAATTTGTCTAACTGTCCAGTGAGAAGCATCTGGATATATTTAACTTTGAGATCTTAAGATGAACGAGAGATGCAATTAGAGTTTTCAGATAACTGGAGTTTGTCATTTAGAAGAAGCAGATGCACCCAAGCATAATGTTAGGTTAGAAATTGCAGGAAAACAGATTTCAGTTGAATTTCAGGAATGAATGAATGAATGAATGAATGAATGAATGAATGAATGAATGAATGAATGAATGAATGACTATATGTATGTATGTATGTATGTATGTATGTATGTATATATGTATGTATATATATATATATATATATATTTCTTGTGACATCAATATAAGCTGTCTTGGATAGTAACCAAGGAATATCCTTGGAAATGCTTACATAGAGACTGGATGGCCGTATGTCATAGGTGCTATATTTGCTGCTTGTGTTGAAGAGGTCTCTTCCAGATAACATCTGGAATAACATCTGCAAGTACAGTATAACATTCTTGAGTTCTCTATATGCATCTTGGTCATGTGGGACCTAAGGCCAAGACTTAGAACAATTTGAAAATGAATGTCCTCTTATCACATCAAAACATGATTGACTGGGAATTGTTCTCCTGCATTGAATTCAGCTCACTTACTTGTCTCCAATATTATCAAATAGTCTGAAGTCACTCAGCTATAATATAGACAGAAATTGTGACTGTTGATTAGCTTGTTAAGCAAGGATGGATTTCTTAGCATTCCAGAATCCTTACTCAATGTTTGCCTGATCCTAGAAAGCAGATTGAAGAGAATCAGTCTATTCTCCACTCTGTTTTGACAAGCTCTGAGGAGCATTATGCTGTAGGAAAATATTCTGTGGAATTTTTGGTTTATTTCAATACTGTCACAAACATGAGTATTGCATGAAAGCTGCTATTGTTTTTCCCCTCTAAAATGTAACTTTCTCCACTTTTCACATACTTATGATCAAAATGTATTTGATGCTGTGTATTGTATTGAAGCTAACCACTGCCAAGATCAGAAATCATTAGGTTCTCCATAGAAATAGCACTGAGCTCTTCAATGAGACAATTAAAAGGCATATTGTAGTAATATAATCTTACATTGTTCAGCGACTTTGCCTAATTATTTTCTTTCTCCCAGAAGACCCTTCTGTACGAGGTCGTCTCACAGAGTGTCTGGAAACTATTCTTAACAAAGCTCAAGAACCTCCAAAATCGAAGAAAGTACAGCATTCAAATGCAAAGAATGCTGTACTGTTTGAGGCAATTAGTTTAATTATCCACCATGACAGGTAAGCTTTGGGGGGGGGGAATGTTCTTTGAAAACAGGCACACCATTTTAAGATGGCACTGAAATGTCTAATTGTATGTCACTTAAAAGACATGGTCAATGGCAATTTCCAACTTGAGTCTTACCAAATTTGGAGAATTAGGAGCTGTTCAAACAACAACTTAAGTTATTCTAAGTTTAAGCCACCAGGATCATGCTAGGAGACACTGTAACCTGCAACAAGTCACAGCCAGCTGGTCTTTCTCCCACTCTGCTGTGGTACCTGGGTTTGTATTTTGTCTTTTTTTAAAACCCAAAAAACAAATGAAGCAAACATATAGGATATAGGGAGGTTACTCTTTCCCTGAGTCCTTTGTTTTATTTTTAAAAATGAGCTCTCTGCAATGCCCGAAACAAAGAAAGAGAGAGAGAGAGAGAGAGAGAGAGAGAGAATAGCTGGTATACAGGAGTGGCTCGGTTGGCAGCTATTCCTGCACCATTCTTTGTTTTCTTGGAGGATTTACTGGTTGCTTAATCATGGAGCCACATGTCAGCTCAGATAAGTTACGGTTTCAGATGGTCTCTGCCTTAACCACAATCTGAAATTATTTCCTGGTTCACACATAATGCTAAGCGAAAACACAGTTTGTCTAGTACGTTGTGTGAATCAGGTGCAGCCTGTGTGGGGAGATAGGAAAGAGATGTTTTAAGCAGACTTTTTTTCCTATTGAGATTATATTCCATTTCAGAATTCTGCTTAAAAGAATGATTTGAAAATGATTGTCAGTCACACCTATTCACAAGTGACTGCATTCATTCTGCATCTCAGTCTTAGCTTTGCTCTGTGCCTTGTAATGACTAATGACAATCTTGACCTCAAATGCTTTCCCTTGAGAGGACATACATTTTTGAACTTGGCCAATAATTATCCTTTTGCTTACCTTATTTATTATTAATGCATTTTCATTGATAAAAGCAGTCCCAAAATAGGGGAGACTTTGGCGATGCTGGAATAGTCTAATAAGAACAAATGTAATCTTATGAAAAATCACAAGAATCTGTTAAGTTGCTTTTCTTGGATAAAATCAGTACAAGACAATACAAGTGGCTCTCACCCAGTTTCATGATCCATGGTTTCGTTTTTCTGTGGTTGCTAAGTAGAGACCATAACTGGTAAAGATTTTTGTGTAGCTACAGGTTTTAACTTGTTTTTTTGTTGCTTTATGGATGTACAAAATGGCAGATGGGCTTTTGTGCATGTGTAAAGAACATTTTTAAAGATCCTTTTATCCAAAGACTTGGTATGCATAGTTGTAGGATGAAACCAAATCTTGATGAAGAACAAAGGCCATCAGTACAGGTAGTCCTTGCTTAATGACCGTTTGAAGTTATGACGGTGCTGAAAAGTGACTTGCGAGTGATGCCTGAAGTTACAACAGTTGCAGTGTCCCATGGTCACATGATCACCTTTAGCGATCTTCCTAGCCGGCTTCTGACAAGCAAAATCAATGGGAACTCTGTGATGCATTTAATGACCATGTGATTTGCTTAATAACCAGGTGATTCACTTAACCGCAGTGATTTGCTTAATGACCACCGCAAAAAGAGGTTATAAAATCGTGTTCGGTCACGTGATGATTTGCTTAATGACCGCATTGCTTAGCAACCTAAATTCTGATCCTAATTGTGGTCATTAAGCAAGGACTACCTGTATATACCTGCTGGCAATTGCACGATATTATCTTGTCCTAGTTCTTACATTGTGGAGGTTGCTGCTCACCCATGGTTAATTCCCATGTTTGTAGTATTATGTGATCTCATGGGAATGTCAGATGTTATTTCTTAAATCTAAGAATGATCAGACTGGGAGTAGGATAACACCCTTCAAATGCCAATAACCATACTGATGAGCTCATCCATATCACCAAAACTTTTTATTTTGATGAAATAGCATGGAGGGGAAATATGCCATCACTAGAACATCAGGATTATACCTGATTCACTGTGTTACCGCAACATGCAAGCTCTTGCCCCTTATGAAATTCTGTTAAAATGGTATGGATAAAGCTTCCTGCTTTTAAAATGGAATTGTAATTATTCTATCTCTGTTACTTACTAACTTCCAGAAGGTATTAGCTGCACTTTTAATGGTAGCGAAGGTACCTTATAATACTCACTCTCATTAATGCTCTTTAGTATACTCGTGCTACTGATTGTTATGGTTTGTTATCTTTTTACACTCTTCTGCCTAGTGAGCCAAACCTGCTTGTTCGTGCCTGTAATCAGCTAGGCCAATTTTTGCAGCACCGGGAAACTAATCTTCGTTACTTAGCATTGGAAAGCATGTGCACGCTTGCCAGCTCTGAATTTTCACACGAGGCTGTGAAAACACACATAGAAACAGTTATCAATGCATTGAAGGTAATGTTTGGTTCTGTATATTGTCTAAACCTTGATTCTCCTGCTTAATTGTTTTTTATTGGTTGTTTCTCGCTAGTCATCCCCAAGATTTTATTCAAACATAAAAGGGTATGAAATTGTCTTTTCCTTGGAACCTCTTCAAAACATTTCATAACCCACAATAAGGTTTAGGTTTTTCCAATTAGGCTGTGCTTGAACTGTAGGCTCCATCATGTACCACTCTATCAGTGTTGTCCAAACTTGGCCACTTTAAGATGAGTGGACTTCAACTCCCAGAATTCCCC